GACAGGATCCCGGGCCCCCATGCCACCCTCGCGGAGAGGCGGGCTCCGCGCTTGGGGGAAGACTCGGTGACTCCTGCAGTTTGTTTTTGTTGTTGTTACCGAGGATCGAACTCAGGACCTTGAGTTTGAAGGGCAGGCGGCGGAACCACTGAGCTAAATTCCCGGCTCCTGCAGTTTTATTATCATCATTCTCTGTTGGTTTCCAAACTTCAGTAGAGGATAATAGGCACAGAGAGCGAAACTGCTGTGAGCGCACAGCTCAGTACAGCCCGCAAGACTCATTTCTACAAGACAAGCAGCACCCGGTTCCGGCCCCTGGCCCCCCTGAGCCCCCAGCCTCACTCCAAGGTGCCCACCCCTGCCCTGTCCTGGCGGTTCTGTCACATTTTGCACTTTATGTGAGTGGGATGGACCACAGTTCACAGCATGTCCTGGGAAGAAAACCCTTAACGACAGAAGGGAAGGTGGCCAAGACCCCCAAGGGACTCGAGGGTGGACCTACCTGTAGGCCCCGCCCACCCTGCACATGGGTGCCAGAGGCTCCCTGAAGACCAGACCCAAGTATAGAGGACCCAGTTCCAAAGGCTGGAGCAGGGCCCTTGGGGGGATCCCTGACCCGGGCTGGGCCCTGGGACTGCCAGGTGACCAGAACCCTGACCTGGTCCCCAGGACTTGGCAGAGAGAACTCGGCTGGGTGCCAGGACTTCTGCTTCCCTAGGGTCACTCTGCAAACATACATCAAGGGGCTGGGAAGACTCCCAAAGGTCAAGCCTGGGGCTGGAGGGGACCCGGGGTTAGGCACATATGCACTGCAGTGAGGAGGGGGCTGTGTTCGGGCCACATCTGGACCAAGGGCCAGCATGGGTGTCCTGAAGTTTCCAGGCTGGCAGAGAGCCACTCCTGGTGTCTCTCTGCCTGCTTCTGGGGCAGGGTCCTGTAGTAGGAGGCTGGACGTTCGCAGAATGTGGCGGTAGCTGGTGCAAAGGAGAATGGGCATCAGGGTTGCACCAGTCGCAACTCTGGTGCCTCCTCTGCTATGTGGGTTCCACAGGGACCTGGAGCCCAAGGCCAGCTTTTGGGGAGCTCTCCATGCACCCTGTCTGGAAGCATCTCTTGGCTCTAGTGAGGTTACAGGACCCTGAGTTCTCCAAACTTGGGCTGGGGTTGGGAACAAGAGTCCTTTGCCCCCAATCCTTGGACTTTTGCCTCATGTCCTGCAGGCTCTGGGTTATTCCTCTAGTTCCAGGGTCTGCCTGCCTCAGCAGCCTGCTACATTCTGCCACATCTGCTCCAGGCTATGGTCACCATAAGCTAGACTGCCCGAGGAAGCCACGGAGCTGCAGCCGTGACTCCAGAGTTCTTTGCGGTGCTGTGTGTGGCCCTGCAGTCTGCCTGTTTGAACCCTGGCTCTCCCCTTGACCTTAGAGTGGCTGAGGAGCTCAACTGCAAACTGGACCTGTGCTCTGGTTGCTAAGCCCTGGCTCCCCTCAGGGAGGTCTCTCCAAGCTCAGATCCAAGGCTGGGACACCCTGGATCTACAATGAATCAGGCTGCCAGGTGTAGGGGTGCACGCCTATAATCTCAGCACTCAGGAGGTTGAGGCAGGAAGATCACAAGTTCAAAGTCAGCCTAAACTAAAGCTAGCCTAAACCCTGTCTCAAAAATCCAAAATAAAATCAGTCAGGTCCCTGGCAGTTCAAGCAGCCTGGAGAGGGGCCTGGGACTGCGGCGTCAAGCTGGGGACATGAGCCAGCCATGAGCTCCTTTCTCAGTTATGTGTCCCACACACAGGTCTCACAGAAAGGAGGGTGGGCCTGGTGAGGGGGACATAGCCTTCCTGGGGTTGTCAGGCCCTGAACATAGCTGATTGGGCCTAGCTCGTCCAATCAGGTTTGCTGAGAGTTTGAATGGCAGCTGGCAACTCCCATGGGCCCAAGGTCATGAGGTCGGTCTGGGTGATGGGAGGCCTTGAGATTTTGGGGGAGCAGGGACAAGGGGATGTGCAGAAGCAGCCAGTCAGTGGAAAGGACCCTGGAGCCAAGAAGGAGGAGGTGGCTGCAGGATCACTCCCAGGGCTGCCCTTGGTCTTTCTGGCCCCATCCACCTCTCTTGTCTGCTCTCCACGTTAGCCAGGTTGCAGACAGACCTGGCACCCTGGACTTGCCCTCCTTCTACCCCCACCCCAGGGCCAGGGCTCTCCCTGCCTGGCAGTGAAACAGCCTAGCTAGCCTCCTGGCCCCTCCAGCTCCCAGGCCCCTGGGCCGGGCAGACAAGCCACTTGCCAGCCACCCCCCGTCTTTGTCACAGGACTTTGGCTTCTCCCCCAGCATGATCTCTACCAGAACCAGGCAGAAGCCAGCCGGCAGACATATTTTGTTTGGCTGAGCCCAGTGTTTCAAAAGAATTTGAACTGTTGCCAACTTTGAAAATCAGGAGATTTTACATAAAAATCCAAATTTTTGGCTTCTCTTGATAAACGAGGAGACTGGTGGACTAGCCCGTGTTCTTTTTTATTTTTTTCTTTTGGTATCGGGGATCGAACTCTGGTTCCTTGCACTTGTGAGGAAGGGGGCAGAACCACTGAGCTAAATCCCTGGCCCCTGGACGTGTGTTCTTTAAGGCTCCAGTCTCAGAGTTCTGTCTGGACTCTGCCTCCCTCCAGCACAGCCCCCACCGCGCCCTATAGCCTCCTACTGCCCCTCACTGAGTCCTGCCCGCCCTCCCTGGCCTGGTCCTCCACCCTCCCCACAGCAACCTGCAGATGTCTTGCTGTCTTTGGAGAGGCCCACGGCTAAGGCCTCTTCCTCCTAAAAGACTTCCTGCACCACACACATCCAGATTCCAGGTAAACATCCCTGCGTGACTCTGCCGTTCCAGGACGGGCCTTAGACCCGTAGTCACACCCGCCTCCCACCTCCCATAATCCCCTGCGGCTTCGGGAAGAGCTGACAGCAACCAGAGCTCTGCTGCTGAGCACCTTGGGGGTCTGCTTCCCAATGCAACTTATCCCACCGTCCTCCCAGGACATTGCCTGAGCCAGGCAGGGACCCCTGGCCACTACCACAGGGCCTGTCCATGGGTAGACTTGGTGCAGGAGAAAGAAGGTAAAGTTAGGTTCTCACTGATGGTTGTCTTTTGTGGATTCTTTGTTCTTTTGTTTGTTTTTTAGATTATGTGTCTGTGTGTGTACCAGGGATCAAACTCCGGTGCTTGCGCTTGCAAGGCAGGCGGCGGAACCACTGAGCTACATCCCCAGCTTCTGTTTTGTTTTGAGATACAGAAGATTGAGCCCAGGGCCTTCACACTAGGATACATCACCAGCTCTTTTTATTTATTTATTTTTGATATTGAGAATTGAACTCAGGACCTGTGCTTGCAAGGTAGGCAGAGGGCCACTGAGCTAAATCCCTGGCCCCCTTTCTATTTTTCAAGACAGAATCTTGTTAACCTGCTCAGGCTGGGCTCAAACTTCCCATTCCTTTGCCTCAGCCTGCCAGATGGGTTTTTTTGGGGGGGTGGTTTGGTACTGTAGATCGAACTCGGGACTTTGCACTTGTGAGGCAGGAGAAGGAACCACTGAGCTAAATCCCCAGCTGGATGATTTTTAAAACACTGATTACATGTTGGAATGGAAATGTGTGGGTGGAATCTCTTGGGCTAAATAAAGTACATTATTGCCAGGTGTGGTGGCGCACACCTATGATCCCAGCACTCAGGAGACTGAGGCAGGAGGATCACCCTGAGTTCAAAGCCAGCCCAGGCTACATAGTGAGACCCTGTCTCAAAAAACAAAACAAAACAAACTGTACGTTTTAAAACTTCATTCCACCTGTCTGATTTTAGTCTTTTCTCTAGAAAAGTTAAAGTAACAAAAGATCTATTGGACAGAACTGTTGTAAACAAATGAGGGAGATATAACTATTGTCCCCATTTTACAGGTGAGGAAACTGAGGCTCAGAGAATAGAGGGAATTTCCTAAGGTCATAGATCATGAGGAGGCTGGACTGGAGCCCAGGACCCTAAGACTTGAAGGCTGTGCCCCTAACCACCAGGTTACAGTGCCTGGCACAGTTAGATATTAGGCAGACATGAATGACCCCCCCATGAACCCTCCCACCCCAAGAGGTCACAGCCTCCTGGAGACTGCCCCTCCTAGGAAAGATCTATGGCCTTGAGTGCCCCTTCCCATAAGAGCCCACCCCTTCGGGGAGCCTGGGTCCACCTGGGCAACTGCCCCAGGCTCTGCTGGGCTGGACCCCCTCATCCCGGGATGGCAAGATTCAACTCAGACTTTGCCCAAAGCAGGAGGGGTGGGTCGGGCACATGGCTGCAGTCCTGGACATTTGCAACTCCCTGCCCTGGACACTGGTCAGGACCTCTCAGGATGCCGAGAAGAAATGACCCTGATCCTCCTCCCCCGGGGTCCTGGGGCATCTTGACTCTTGCCTGAGGCCCAGCACCATCAGGGGCCCTGTCACAGGGGTGGGGATCGTGACCACTGCCTGCCCCACGCCCACTGGGCGGACACCCTCAGAATTCCTTCCCAGGGCCAGAGAAACTGTCCACACAGTTTCTGCTCACAGGCCTGGGGCCAGGCAGCTACTTCCTCTGGCTGAGGCTGCCGCGGGTATCTGCCCATCTGTCCATCTGCCCGCCATGTCTTCCTCTCAAGTGCCCTGGAGGAACCGAGAGTTGCCAAGGGAGGAGCCGAAGCCAGGCTGCCGAAATAAGTTTGCAGTACCAACTCCAGACAATCACTCTGCGTGTGGCAGCCCCACCTCCATCCTGAGGCTGGGCCAGCGCAGCCCAGCACCTACTGGCATGGAGCAGGCCAGGGCCCAGCTGGTGGCCAGGACTGAGCCCACCCTCCGCCACCTCAGCTCATCCCAGATCTGCTCATGCGCTGCCACCCAGTGGCTGTGTGAGTGCCAGGGCCTCCCACCAGTCTAGGGGAGCACAGGGCTGGGCATGTGTCGGCAGGCAGGGGGTCTGGGGGCCACCACTGGTGACCTGACCAAGCCAAACCAGAATAGAGGGGCACCAAGACGGCCCTGCCTCAGAGGGAAGCTGTGAAGGTTCCAGGGTACATGTGATGGAGGGACCCCGAGTAGCGGGGGCGGTCCATGTGAACCTACAGAGGCCGGAGGAATGGGGCTTCACAGAGGTACTGGGCATGATTGAAAAATATGGAGAATGGGCCGGGGATTTAGCTCAGTGGTTCCACTGCCTGCCTCATAAGCACAAGGTCCCAAGTTCAATCCCAGGTACAAAAAAAAAAAAAAATATGGAGAATGTTCAATGTGATTTTAAAAATATATTACAGGAAAAACACATTGATGTTCTCCCTTCAAACTCCTCTGCCTCACTTCAAATACAATATCTATGGTTCTTGCCACTTTGTGAAGCAGGTCTGGAAGTTCTCTTTCTTGAGTGTGTTTAGATGCACTGTTCTGGCTGCCTTAGTGTCTCTTTCTCTTTTTTTTTTCCCTGGAGGCAGTGAACTCACTTTGTAGCCCAGGCAGTGATCCTCCTGCCTCAGCCTCCAGAGTGCTGGGATTACAGGCATGCGCCAGCGCGCCTGGCTGCCCCGATGTCTTGAATCCATTCAAAAGCTTTACCCTTCATGGTCATTTTGACTTTGAGAAAGAGCCAGAAATTGCACGGTGCAGACCCGGCGTCATGCTTTTACCAGCCAACCTCTCCACTGGGTGACTCCCAACAGCAGCATTCACTGTGCTTCTCATCACACTATGTAAAGACACTCAGGAAAGAGGACTCCAGAGCTGCTTCAGAAAGGGGCCAGGATGACAGAATAAGTGCACTCAAAGCCAGAGGAGTATTTTGAGGTGCAATGTGCCTTTTACTGTAATAAAATTTTTCATTTAGTTTTTATTTAATTTGAAAAGTGTTAGCAGTACCCATTCGCGGTACATAACGATTATGTTTGCCGCGTACACAGCATGTTTTAATTCTTTTACTTTCCCCAAATATATATATTTTTTGGGGGAGGGATACTGGGGATCAAACTCAGGACCTTGTGCTTGTGAGGCAGGCAGCGGAACCATTGAACTAAATCCATGCCCCCCACCCAAATGTTTTTTAATTTAAGCGTCCTCCATGTGCCCTGATCACACTGCAGAGCTCCAAGGATCGGGGCAGACAGTGATCAGCAAGGCCTGAGGAGGATGAGCTCAGAGAACTGCAGCCCCCACAGGCCTAGGGGAGTAGCTGTCTGGTGTGCCGGGGTGGGGCTGGCTCCTCTTGGCTGCCCTGGCTCCTAGCAGGGTCAGATGACTCGGCACATGTGCGGCCTCCATGCCCACAGGCAGACAGGACTCTCCTACATGTTCCCTGGCCGAGGAGGACTGACCGGAGCTCTGTCCTCCACCAGGCACCCCACTGACTGCCTCTGCCCTGTCCACGCCCTGGGCTGCCTGAGTTCTGGGCAGGGAAGCCACCTTCTCGCACAGCCCTGCCCTGCAGCCTCCTGCCCACACCTCAGTGCCTGGTGCTCTGGGGCCCAGATGGGCACTGGGCCAATCCCACCAATCCAAGCAGCCACCCCCCCACTAGGCCACTAAGCCAGGTGCTGATAAAACGAGCACAGGGACGTTGGTCATCCGTGTCCCCAGGGCCACCCCCCCACCGCAAGAGCTGCGGTGCCATCTCCCTTCAGGACCTCTACCCATGCAGTGTGGGGCTCCCTCCCACTTCCCTCGGGACCCAGGCCTAACTGTGCTGGTAGCTGGTGTCTTCACTCTGCTGGGACCCTGTAGGGCCGACTCAGTTTCCTTGGCTGTACCAAAGGGCCCCAGAGCTAAGATGGCATTGGTAACTGTCAAGGCAGCACAAGCAGGGCTTCCTCTGTGCCATAGAGAGCCCCAGGGAGCATAGAACCCTCATGCCAACACAGAGACTTCATTATCAGGGCTGGGGATGTAGCTCAGTGGTGCCACCCCCTGTCTTGCAAGTGCAAGGTCCTGAGTTCAATCCCCAGTACTGAAGGAAAAAAATAGATTTCATTATCCTCCTCCTGAATGTCCAGGACACTCCTGGGCTGGAGTGTTACAGAGGTGCTGGCCTTGCAGTTCCTCGTGGCCTTGTTTTGCTTTTATTTTTCAATACTGGGGATTAAACCCAGAGCCTTCGCACTGAGCTGCGTCCCATCTCCTTTTTTTTTTGAGATGGGGTCTCACAGTGTAGCCCAGGGTGGCCTCAAACTCGCAACGATCCTCCAGCCTCAGCCTCCTATGTGCTGGGATTACAGGTGTGTGCCACACCTGGCTTCCTTTCATTTTTATCATTGCTTTTTTTTTTTCAAAATACAGTGCTGGGGGTGAATCCCAAGTCCTCACATATGCTAGGCAAAAGCACCACCGCCCCAGGTTCTATTCTGAGACAGAGTCTTGCCAATTTGCTAAGTTGCCCAGACTGGGCTCAAACTTTCCATCCTCCTGCCTCAGACTCCCAGAGGACTGGGGTGACAGATGTGGGCCATCATGCCCAACTCTCCTGACTCTTGAGAGGCTGAATCTCACAATGCCTCAGCTGAAACATGGGAATAAGTGGGGAAGCAACCCCCATCCAGAGCTGGGACAGAAACACTCTGCAAGGGCCCAGCCCACAACACAGCCCCAAGGGGACACTGAGGCCTGGAGCCCAGGGCTGCCCTGGCCATTGCTGGCCATGAGCTGCAGGTCCAGACCCGTGCAGGGCCGCGTGCCTAGCGTGGTCCCCATGCTCTGGCCCTCCCCTCTAGTGGGGCTCTGGAGGGCTCTGTCCCCTGCAGCTGCAGGCGTTGTCCCCCTGGGGCCACAGGCCACACCTACCCCTGAGGTCCTCAGTGATGTCCAGGCTGGAGCTCCAAGAGAAGCGCTCCACAGCCCCTAGCCCCAGCTCAGCCAGGTTCCCAGGCAGCGCCTCCAGCTCGTAGGCACCTCGCCTCCTCCAGTGCAGGAACATGCCGGGGCCTGGGGGGGGCCTCTGAGGCTGGTGGCCCCAGGGACCTGGGTCCCCGAGGCCTGAATGCAGCCGGGGTATAAGGGGCTACAGGGATTGCAGGCCGACAAAGCGGCCTCCCAGAGAGGGGAGCATTCTGGGAGCGGCTGGGGGCCTCAGAGCTGACCAATGGCCAGGGCCCCAGCCCCACACAAAGCGCCTTTCTTCCCCTCCTACAGACATTTTACAAATTTCGCCTTCCTGAAGCCCCCGCCGAGGAGATGGGCAGGCCGTCTGGGGACTGCAGAGGCCTGGGAAAGAGCACAATTGTTTCTCGGTGGCTTTGCAAAGATAAGTTTTCAGAGGACAAAAATGTGCTGTCCCAGGAGCGATTCTGGCTCCCAGCTGATCTCTGACCCCACCCCACCCTGTGGCCCCCACAATACTCAGTGGGAATGGGAGTACCCGGGGGGGGGGGACCC